GACCCAAAGTATTGATGATTGGGACCATATGTGGCACAAGACCTGTTTTACTTCCGGCATATTGAGGATTTCTGTTTTCATCATCAGTACGTCGCGGGTGTCTTCTGTTGGTTTTGTTGTGGTTTTTTATTTGTGTTTTGTTTTATATTTTCTACTCTAGTTATGAGTATTGTAATCGGTATCTATAATGGTCTTTAATTCCTACAATTTCTGTTCAGCTGCGTCTCCTTAGGGACCCGTCCTCATATGACCTTAGTCGTGGTGAGGACGTAAACATATCTCCGTAGCCCGATATTTCACCTGCATCACAAAGACGACGTAACCCTTATTCACTGAAGCGCTGAAGACATGAATATGTCGCTGGGAGTAAGAAATATAAACAGTATCAATGTTTTATGTCGACCCGATACGGATAGTAAATGATACATAGACAAGCTGTAACAGACACGTGCATTGGAGACCCAACGTAAAAAGTCCGACAAATGAAACTACCGGGATATTAACAATGTAGTAATTAAAACCGAAATTTTGGAATCCTATACAAAGTACATGTAAATAGAAACTAAGATGTTAGCGCCTTCGAAGTACATCTAGTGATCTGTTAACTTACAAAGTCAAAGATATGCTGTCGTGCATTTTGTGGTACAGTGATGAAAATGTGACAATAACACAATATTACTTTATGTACATCCGGTAGTTATGGCTCCGTTAATCCTGACTTTAAACATGTTGCCCCAATTTCAATCATAAAGGGATTTTGATTACATATGATGACACCAAGAATACAACACATCAACAGATTTTACTTGCTTTTATTTACAATGGGTAAGGGGAAATGTGGTCACACTCTTAACGATCACACTTTCACCAAACCAATGTCGGTTTCGAAATTAGAATTACAGTATACAGTAAACAAAAGTGTTTATTTTGTAAATAAAGCTGTAGTACGCATTATGTAACAGCAGATTTTTACACTATTGCCCGACAAATTTATTATAATTTCACAATTCACCCTTATACGAATGCAAATTCAGTGTTACTGAGTCTCAGAGAGAAGTATACATTTTGTGAAACTATTCAGGTCAATTTCAAGTTGCTTTTTCTTTAAAAGAGCTTACAACTTTAGTTTTAAATGCAATTTTACTTCAATTTTTACTTAAAATCTCTATGTGAATTTAAACTGAATTTCAGTTGAAGCTCGTGTCGAAACGTCAGTTTCATGCCTGGATACGTTTTAGACTAAATTTTAACTTTAATTTTAACCCTCTTTCCCCATACTTATTCATTTTATCTGAGGAATTACTAAGCAGTTCCTTAAAATTTAACTCTTAAAGGGCTTAATATTGACCACTCTGAAGTCAATATGCAGATGATTCGACACTCTGTCTTGAAGATGATGAACAATCTCTAAAGGAAACATTTGTTACCTTAGATTATTTTGCTGAATGTTCTAGTTTGAAATTAAATTTAGGAAAACCCCATGTAGTTTGGCTGGGGGCAAAGCGGGGTTGTGGGGTAGAATACTTGCAAGAAAAGAATATTTTTTGGAATCAAAGAGGGAAATTTAAGCTCCTTGGGATCACATATGATCTGAACCAGGATGATGTAACATTACAAAACTTTGCATTTGAATCGGTTAAAAAACTATTAAATGACTGGTCTTTTAGAAATCTTAGTTACATAGGGAAAGTCACGGTAATCAAGACACTAGCACTCCCAATATTCACACATATTTTTACAGTACTTCCAGATCCTTCTGATGTGTTCATTAACAACATCCAAAAACTATTTTTTATTTTTTTTATGGTCAGGGAAAATTGACAAGATTAAAAGGAATGTAATAATAAACTCATACGAGAATGGAGGCCTTAGACTCACTCATGTGAAATCATACTGCCAAGCGCTAAAAGTGACATGGATAAAAAAATACTAGATGCCAACAACAATTCTCCTTGGAAAAAAATAATTGCTGATAAACTTCTAAAATTTGGAGGTGAGTCAATTTGGTATAGGAATAGCGAGTGTCTAAACAACATAACAGATCACTTCAATCCTTTCTGGAGTAATATTATTAAAATATGGGCTTCTATAGAGCGTGCTCCACCCACAACCCCGTCAGAAAAACTATCACAACCAATATTGTTTTACAATAAAAATTAGATAAACAAACAGTATGTACTGTATCAAAGGTGGGTAGAAAATAATATTTTCTTCATTAAAGACTTAGTTAATGACAGGGGTGAATTTATTGATGTGAATCTACTTAAACTTCAATATGATATCCAAATTAACTTCGATGAGTACTATGGCTTACTAGCATCTATCCCAAACTCATGGAAAAATGTGATTAAAACATACAGGAAAAATATTGATGTACCAGAAAACTAATACATACAAATAATAAAAGGGAAAGAAAAGATAACTAGAGATTTTATGCAGTATTGGTCAATCAATATCTAGATCTCTCTATTTCATCTATGCAAAAATGGCAAGGGAAAATGGGATTAGATATAACAAATGACAGTTGGAAGATGTACTTCAAACTACCCTTCAATATAACAGATGACACAACACTACAAACTTTTCAATTTAAATTGCTACATGGAATACTATATACAAACTCTAGACTAATGAAAATGAACATTACAGAAACAGAAATTTGTAATGTTTCTACGGTAAATAGAGAAACGCTGAAGCATTTATTTTGGGATTGACTTCATACACGTGGGTTTAGTCATTAAGACGACAATTTGTAACTAATTGTAATATTGATTTTCCATGGTCAAATGTTTCCTTTATATGCGGAATAGATGACAATCCTGAAAATGAAAGTGTGAATATGTGTATCATCATCATAAAGAAATATATTTACTCATGCAGGAACAAACATACAATGACAACTATTGGTGGGGTCCGTTCTGCAATATCATACTATACGCTAATTGAAAATCAATGTATCCTGTCATATCCCCGAGCAAAAGCCGACCAAGTAGTAGTGAAGTGGGCCGTTATCAGCACAGCATTGACCATTGATTAATTGAATTTAAATCCATATTTTGCTCATTCTTTCTATCGATGTTTATCATATCTAGAATTATTTACTATCTAATAATAAGAACGCAAGCAGTTGTTATTGTACATGAAAAAGAAACAGAATGAAAAAGAAGATAGAATTCATTAGTATGTAAGACAATATGAAATACAATGTAATAATTGTCATGTTCTCCACTGTGTACTAACATGTGAACAATCAAAAATAAAATATGATAGTTTTTTTGTTTGTTTTTTTAACTTAACTAAATATGTCCTTTTAATAATAAAAAAGAGCAAAAATAGAATGAATCTCATAATGTAAAATTCACAAACAACAATTTCACATTTAATAAAAGAAGAAATTTCGTTTAAATTTCATATTTTGTTATTTTTGCAGTTAAGTGTTTACATGTGTAGAGTATGTGCAGTTAGGGTTGTTTGCGGTATTGGACAAATCAGGCGAAGTCTTCAAATTCAGTTGTGCACATTTATTCATTGCAGCATTAAAACGGGATACGGGAAAGAGTCCCTAAAATACAAATAATGAAAACCTATTACAAATAATTCCTACGCCTCGAATAATGGCGCGAAATGATCGCAATTCAAACTATGTACACAACATCTACGTGAAGTTGTATCATTAACGAAATGACCATCCGGGTATATTTACACCAGTAAGTATGAACAATACTATTCAAATTTTATTAACAATTTACGTTACAATCAAACTGAGTGTCTTTTGTCTATCATTAAAGTAAAATGGCCATGACGACATCTAATGAACAAAGAAGTTGTTGTGAAATTAACGAAGGAAATATATATATTAGACACATCGATTAAATGAATTATACATAAAACTGCTTACCCTGCATGTGGTGCTGAGGAGAAAGAAAATATAGGAAAGAGGATCCAGCCTTTTTGAACAAAATCTTCCTGATCGAAGAAATTGAGAATTGATCTGACGCCTTCAAAATATAGAGCTAGAGTGAAGTAGACATAGACTGAGAGATTAAAGCGGGAAAAAGAAAGAGAATGCCTTGCGCATGTCTTAAGTCAATGTCCAGTCGTCAATGGTCAGTTACAGACAATACAGTCCCACATATACATTATCCGGACACACTGTGATTATGCTGCGTTACACGTATATTGAAAACGAAAGTACAAAATGTAAGTTTGAAAACCGGTCGCGGTACGGATATTCCAGAATCCGCACATATATGAAGATAAGTAAACCCTGATTATTTATTGATGCAAACTAACACTTAAAAAAAAAAAAAGCATTACAATAAAACAAAAAAAAAATTTAGCGGCTTCCACACATGCTTTACAATATATGAAATAAATAAATAAATGGAACTATAGTTATATATCTTTATAAACACAAAAATGTAATACGAGTATTTCAAAGACCGAAAAGTACAAGCTTTATATGAAAAATCATTAGCCCACTATTTAGGACACCTCCTAGTATTTAATCTTTAATGTCTGTGGGGTTCAGGTGTATACAGTTAGCTTAAAAGACACAATAATTCCTTGCCTTAGACATCACACATGTAGGGCTTCTCTCCTGTATGTACTCGTCTGTGTTTCTGTAAGGTAGATGATTGAGAAAATTCCTTAGGGTTTCAGGTGTATACAGTTAGCTTAAAAGACACAATAATTCCTTGCCTTAGACATCACACATGTACGGCTTCTCTCCTGTATGTTTCCTGAGATGACTACACAGATGATCTGGTCAGGGAAACCCCTCAGTACATATCTCATATGTACACCTCTAAAGGGTTTTTCTTGTATGTAATTTTATGTGTTTCCGAAAGCTAGATGAACGACCGAATTTCATACTACAGTCATCACACTTGTATGGCTTCTCTCCTGTATGTACCCGTCTGTGTGTCTGTAGGTCAGATGATACATATAATTCCTTACCACAGATATCACAGTTGTATGGCTTCTCTCCTATATGCATCCTGTGATGTGTTCATACATGTAGGTCAGATGATTGACTTAATTTCTTACTACAGCTATCACACTGGTAAGGTTTCTCTCCTGTATGTATCCTGATATGTTTTCGCAGATGAGAAGATTTACTAAATTCCTTACTATAGATATCAAACTTGTATGGCTTCTCTCCCGTATGTAGCTCGTCTGTTAGTCAGCTGTAAGGTAGATGATACAAAGAATTCCTTACTACAGACATCACACGTGTAAGCTTTCTCTTCTGTATGTGTCTTTTGATGACTGCGCAGATGATCTTGTCAGGGAAACCCCTTAGTAGATATCTCACATTTGTATGGCTTCTCTCCTGTATGTACTCGTCTGTGTCTCTTTAGGCTGAATGATTTAGAAAATTCCTTACTACACACATCACACATGTAAGCTTTCTCTCTTGTATGTGTCTTTTGATGACTGCACAAATGATCTGGTCTGGGAAACCCCTTAGTACATATCTCACATTTGTACGGCTTCTCTCCTGTATGTACTCGTCTGTGTCTCTGTAAGCTAGATGATACAGATAATTCCTTACCACAGATATCACACTTGTATGGCTTCTCTCCAGTATGTACTTGTTTGTGTGTCTGTAAGCTAGATAATACAGAAAATTCCGTACTTCAGATATCACACTTGTATGGCTTCTCTCCAGTATGTACTTGTCTGTGTGTCTGTAAGCTAGATAATACAGAGAATTCCGTACTACAGATATCACACTTGTATGGCTTCTCGCCGGGATGTACTGGTCTGTGTCTCTGTAAGCTAGATGATACAGAAAATTCCTTACTACAGATATCACACTCGTATGGCTTCTCTCCGGGATGTACTGGTCTGTGTCTCTGTAAGCTAGATGATACAGATAATTTCTTACCACAGATATCACACTTGTATGGCTTCTCTAATGTATGTACTGGTCTGTGTCTCTGTAAGCTAGATGATACAGAAAATTCCTTACTACAGATATCACACTTGTATGGCTTCTCTCCGGGATGTACTGGTCTGTGTCTCTGTAAGCTAGATGATACAGAAAATTCCTTACTACAGATATCACACTTGTATGGCTTCTCTCATGTATGTACTGGTCTGTGTCTCTGTAAGCTAGATGATACAGAAAATTCCTTACTACAGATATCACACTGGTATGGCTTCTCTCCTGTATGTACTGGTCTGTGTCTCTGTAAGCTAGATGATACAGAAAATTCCTTACTACAGATATCACACTGGTATGGCTCTCTCCAGTATGTACTCGTCTGTGTGTCTGTAAGTGAGATGATACAGAAAATTCCTTACTGCAGATATCACACTTGTATGGCTTCTCTCCTGTATGTACTCGTCTGTGTGTCTTCAGGCTGAATAATTGAGAAAATTCCTTACTACACACATCACACTTGTAAGCTTTCTATCCTGTATGATTCTTTTGATGACTGCGCAGCTGATCTGGTCAGGGAAACCCCTTAGTACATATCTCACACTTGTATGGCTTCTCTCCTGTATGTACTCGTCTGTGTTTCTGTAAGGTAGATGATTGAGAAAATTCCTTACTACACACATCACACTTGTAAGCTTTCTCTCCTGTATGTATCCTTTGATGTCTACGCAGATGATATGATCGGGGAAACCCCTTAGTACATATCACACACTTGTAAAGGTTTTCTCGAGCTCCTGTATGTACTCGTAAGGTAGATGATTGACAAAATTTCTCATTTACACACATCACACTTCTCTCCTGTATGTGTGCCGAGGTGTTTCTGCAGCTCAGAGAAATAACAGAATTCCTTACTACAGACATCACACTTGTATGACTTCTCGCCTGTTTCTTCCATTTAGGCGTCTCCTTTTTTGTACCTGAAAAAATGAGGAAAAGGACTCGGATGAGATAATGTATACACCTGTTCAAAAATTTGCACTATATGTGAAACTTGTGGACAAATATTCACAACAGTTTATCACATACACTAACTATACCTGGCGAATCTTTTACTTGTGATACAGCCAGTTTTTAGGTCATGCCCGTTTTGGTTAATGGTAAAAAAAAAAACACTTTTTTTTCAGGAAAAAATGGCAAGGAGGTGTGGCCTGCATTTTCATATGATACTCTTATTATGCATTTGGCAGACAACAAAACAGACTGGGTCAGGAGTGATGGGTAGGCCATGGAATCATTTTGAGCAAGATAAAAAGTCACAGTGTTTTTTAATGAGTTACATAATTGAATTCTGATTTTTCAGCACTACAATGGTAATGTGTACTGTTTTAAATATGTGACGTTAAATAAATATTCTTGTATCATTGATTGCTGACCCCTAACCGAGACAATCTGAAATCCTTAAAAATACACGAAGCATTCAACTTCAAATAGTCGTCGGTAAGGACAGATTATCTTGTTGTGACCGAGTGGAGCGTCATGCTACGTGTCCAGAACAGGACCGTTGTACAGACTGTAGACCATAGAATCATTTTGAGCAAGATAAAAAGTCAGTAATATTAAATGAGTTATATAATTGAATTCTGATTTTTCCTAACAAAATTCTGGTACTTTTTTAAGTTTACAAGAGACGATGTGCAATACTAAAAATTTCCTGTGTAGGGTCACGCAGTCATGAACTATAACTTATTAATGGCCTCGCGGAAACATAAAACAGGCTGGGACCTTTGACGAGGATTTTGGCCACTATTTTTCATTTTGTTCCATATTTTACGTTCATACATGAAGTGACCGAGACCCCATCTCTCTTGGCACTCAGATGAAAGACAGGCCAGTTGACGCCCCATCTATATCAGCCTATTGAATATACATATTTTTAACATGGTGATGCGTGTTACAATTAAATACACATGTGTGTTTTTATCAAGTAGATATCATGAGGTTGTACATATAAGCAAGTACATAAGAGATAGTATTGCAAATTTCTTATATTAGATGAATAACTACACTGTATGCTAGTGCAGTATTATCTTATTTACCATGTGGTTCTTTTTAAACGAATTTTGGAACAGGGACTTCTCCGAATGTAACAAACTGATGTACCTGGTAGTCAATGGAAGGTAATTCAGTTATTGATTAATTTTGTCTTTTATTTTTTCAATACAAGAAGTGACGTATGGTATGAATAAATGAATGAACACACAAATGAATGAATGAATGAATGCTTGAATGTTGTATGAAATAAAGAAGTTTGTTGTTGTTTGCATGTTTACAGATAAAGACTGCTTCAATAGATAAAGACCACTAGCCCTCCCCCACTCGATCGTGGGTTCACGGCCTTCGTGGGGCAGTCGTCAGGTACTGGCCGTAGGTCGACGGATTTCTATGGGAACTCCCTCTTTCCTCAACCACCAAAGCCTGGCGCGTCTTTAAATGACGGTAACTTATTAATAGGACGTAAAACACAAACAAACCAAAGCCACTAGCACAAGGTGCATCTAGATCTGTGCTCATGGTATGACATCCTCAAACTGCCAGGGGTTACGCTTCATTTATATTCTCCGCACCTTGGAAAATGTTGCACGATAATCGAAGGTACATGATAGCTTTTTTTTTGTTTTTTGTTTTTTGTTTGTTTGTTTGTTTGATTTTGTTTAACGTCCTATTAACAGCTAAGGTCATTTAAGGACGGCCTCCTCTGGGTGCAAGATGCATGCGTGTAGTGTATGTGTGTGTATATTGGGAGGCTGCGATAGCTATTTGATTGGTAAAAAGCTGACCAATCACTAGGCTGATACCAGAACCCGTTCTTTAAACTCAAAGAGTGACATCCCACTTCAAAGCCAGTCAATTGTACCTTTACATTGCCGTGCAATTCTTTTGATCTACATCAAAGGATCAAACTAAACAACTTGTACCATCCAAAAGCCTTCCATTTTGTCATGACATATTCCAGGGATGCAGAAAATGTAAGTTGACCATGACCCCTGGAAATTCGCGGATAATAGTATGGTGCAGAGTATCTCATGTATGTCTGTCAACACTGTTTTTTGAAGAACTGATGAACAGCCAGTAAGTACATGTACTTGAGGTGGAGTGCTGTACAGTTTCCTCAAGTAAATGACGGCCTTTAGCAATGATATTTGGTTACTAGAGTATAAGATATACAAATGTAGACCAGCAGTGCAAATCGTTTTTAATGTATTGTGTTTAGGTCAAAGGTCAACATTTAGTGTTGGCTAAAGTTTAGTGTTAACATTGGCTAAATAGAAGAAAAAGTTAAGTCTTTCTGTGCATTTCGATTAGGCCCAGGGTCCTGATTGTTGGCCAGTTGTTACCTGGTAAAAAGAGTGCTATTAAGTTTTCTCATACAAATACCTTACTTGTACTGTCAGGGTCAATATCACGCAAAGTTTTCTAGAGTCAAAATGTCAACTGACAAAGGTTAAAATTGGCATAATTATGGCTTTAAGAATATTTTTTTCAATTTAATAATAAGGTCCAGGGTCATGATTAAAATAGACCGGTAATGTGAAAATTTACTTAGTTCTGATAGTCCAACCATATATGCTTGCAATCGCTTAGCATGAAGTAAATAACACATGTATGCTACTAAGATCAAGCATGGTATCCTGGCCTGCCTCTGGGGGTTTAGTTTGTTGCGTTTATGTTGAAATAATTTCGATCTTTACCCTATATACAAATGTAATCATATTCACATGTGTACCGATCTCGGACATATTTACTCTGAAACATACTAACCCTTTCACCCCTATGTAACTTCAGTAAACTCTTCCATGCATTACTATTGATGAGTCCAGCTTGGTCTACAGTGTTTAAACGGTTATTTGGGTCCAAGAACATTCCTATCCAGGTGAGACATGCATGTCCCATGGGTCTGTTATTCATGTTTGGGAATGAATTACAGCACATACCAAACAATAATCCAAAGGAATTTAAAAGCATTATTAATGAAATTACTAGCCACTTCCAACCGACTGGGCTACGGAGATTTTCTCCTTTAGCTAATTCGGTAGAGCGTTAGACTAGTAAGCCAGAGGTCTGGGGTTCAACTCCTAGCGGAGGCATTGAAAAAATAATGACCTCTGTCACAAGGGGGATCCCCGTATCAAGAACAAATAATTATGATAGTGACATCCAGTTTTTCAATCAGTTCCAAAATCGATATGCATTTTAGTAAAGACCGCTGGGAACCTTTATGTATACATTTGAGAACTCTCCTTTATTTTTTGAGAATTCGAATTAGTGCTAAAACCAGCAAACAACAGTCTTGGTTTTCCCCATTAGTACCAAAATTAAACTTGGATATAAGTTGTGACCATAGGGAATGTTCATGTGAAATTTGAGAAAGATCCCGTATAACCTGATAAATAGCTCTAGCCCTCTTAACAATTTGAGATTGCCGAAGGGCGACAATTTTGGTTTTCCCATCAGTCCTTAAACTCAATATGCTTAGCTTGGGTCCATGGGACACTTTCAAGGGAAATTTGAGAAATATCCCTCCATTCCTTTCTGACATATATGGCCCTAATTAACACTAACTCTCCAAATTCAAGATGGCCACCAGTTGCCCATCTTTTCCCCGAAATCAGTCCCAAAATTTGAATTGCAAAAACGAGGGACCATGAAGCACCGAGGACCATGGATTACTTTGATGTGGAATTTGAGAACGATCTCTCTTGTACTTTTTAAGTAAATTCTAATGAAACACATAACATAAACTTCTCCCATTATTTAATCTTTAATGTCTGTGGGTTTCAGGTGTATACAGTTAGATTAAAAGACACAATAATTCCTTGCTTCAGACATCACACTTGTATGACTTCTCTCCTGTATGTTTCCTGAGATGACTACGCAGATGATCTGGTCGGGGAAACCCCTCAGTACATATCTCACATGTACACCTCTAAAGGGTTTTTCTTGTATGTAATTTCATGTCTATCCGCAAGCTAGATGAACGACCGAATTCCTTACTACAGATATCACACTTGTATGGCTTCTCTCCAGTATGTACTCGTCTGTGTGTCTGTAAGTTAGATGATACAGAGAATTCCTTACTACATATCTCACACTTGTATGGCTTCTCTCCTTTATGTACTCGTCTGTGTCTCTGTAAGCTAGATGATACAGAGAATTCCTTACCACAGATATCGCACTTGTATGGCTTCTCTCCAGTATGTACTCGTCTGTGTGTCTGTAAGTGAGATGATGTAGAAAATTCCTTACTACAGATATCACACTGGTATGGCTTCTCTCCTGTATGTACTCGTCTGTGTGTCTTCAGGCTGAATGATTGAGAAAATTCCTTACTACACACATCACACTTGTAAGCTTTCTCTCCTGTATGAGTCTTTTGATGACTGCGCAGTTGATCTGGTCTGGGAAACCCCTTAGTACATATCTCACACTTGTATGGCTTCTCTCCTTTATGTACTCGTCTGTGTCTCTGTAAGCTAGATGGTACAGAGAATTCCTTACCACAGATATCACACTTGTATGGCTTCTCTCCAGTATGTACTCGTCTGTGTGTCTGTAAGTGAGATGATGTAGAAAATTCCTTACTACAGATATCACACTTGTATGTCTTCTCTCCTGTATGTACTCGTCTGTGTGTCTTCAGGCTGAATGATTGAGAAAATTCCTTACTACACACATCACACTTGTAAGCTTTCTCTCCTGTATGAGTCTTTTGATGACTGCGCAGTTGATCTGGTCTGGGAAACCCCTTAGTACATATCTCACACTTGTATGGCTTCTCTCCTGTATGTACTCATCTGAGTGTCTGAAGGTCAAATGATACATATAATTCCTTACTACAGACATCACACTTGTATGGCTTCTCTCCTGTATGTGCTCATCTGAGTGTCTGAAGGTCAGATGATACATATAATTCCTTACTACAGATATCACACTTGTATGTCTTCTCTCCTGTATGTACTCGTCTGTGTGTCTGTAAGTTAGATGATACAGAGAATTCCATACCACATATATCACACTTGTATGGCTTCTCTCCTGTGTGTACTCGTCTGTGTGTCTGTAAGTTAGATGATACAGAGAATTCCTTACTACATATCTCACACTTGTATGGCTTCTCTCCTGTATGTGCTCATCTGAGTGTCTGAAGGTCAGATGATACATATAATTCCTTACTACAGACATCACACTTGTATGTCTTCTCTCCTGTATGTACTCGTCTGTGTGTCTTCAGGCTGAATGATTGAGAAAATTCCTTACTACACACATCACACTTGTAAGCTTTCTCTCCTGTATGAGTCTTTTGATGACTGCGCAGTTGATCTGGTCTGGGAAACCCCTTAGTACATATCTCACACTTGTATGGCTTCTCTCCTTTATGTACTCGTCTGTGTCTCTGAAAGCTAGCTGATACAGAGAATTCCTTACCACAGATATCGCACTTGTATGGCTTCTATGCAGTATGTACTCGTCTGTGTGTCTGTAAGTGAGATGATGTAGAAAATTCCTTACTACAGATATCACACTTGTATGTCTTCTCTCCTGTATGTACTCGTCTGTGTGTCTTCAGGCTGAATGATTGAGAAAATTCCTTACTACACACATCACACTTGTAAGCTTTCTCTCCTGTATGTGTCTTTTGATGACTGCACAACTGATCTGGTCTTGGAAACCCCTTAGTACATATCTCACACTTGTATGGCTTCTCTCCTGTATGTACTCGTCTGTGTGTCTGAAGGTTAGATGATACAGAGAATTCCTTACCACATATATCACACTTGTATGGCTTCTCTCCTGTATGTACTCATCTGAGTGTCTGAAGGTCAGATGATACATATAATTCCTTACTACGGACATCACACTTGTATGACTTCTCTCCTGTATGTACTTGTCTGTGTGTCTAAAGGTCAGATGATACATATAATTCCTTACTACAGATATCACACTTGTATGGCTTCTCTCCTGTGTGTACTCGTCTGTGTGTCTGAAGGTTAGATGATACAGAGAATTCTTACCACAGATATCACACTGGTAAGGTTTCTCTCCGGTATGTATCCTGTAATGTGTTCTTACATGTAAGTCAGATGATTGACTTAATTTCTTACTACAGCTATCACACTGGTAAGGTTTCTCTCCTGTATGTATCCTGATATGTTTTCGTAGATGAGAAGATTTACTAAATGCCTTATTACAGATATCACACTTGTATGGCTTCTCTCCTGAATGTACTCGTCTATGTCTCTGTAAGCTAGATGATACAGAGAATTCCTTACCAGACATCACACATGTAAGCTTTCTGTCCTGTATGTGTCTTTTGATGACTGCGAAGATGATCTTTTCAGGGAAACCCCTTAGTAGATATCACACATTTGTATGGCTTCTCTCCTGTATGTACTCGTCTGTGTGTCTGTAAGTTAGATGATACAGAGAATTCCTTACTACATATCTCACACTTGTATGGCTTCTCTCCTGTATGAACTCGTCTGTGTGTCTTCAGGCTGAATGATTTAGAAAACTCCTTACTACACACATCACACTTGTAAGCTTTCTCTCCTGTATGTGTCTTTTGATGACTGCACAAATGATCTGGTCTTGGAAACCCCTTAGTACATATCTCACACTTGTATGGCTTCTCTCCTTTATGTACTCGTCTGTGTCTCTGTAAGCTAGATGATACAGAGAATTCCTTACCACAGATATCACACTTGTATGGCTTCTCTCCAGTATGTACTCGTCTGTGTGTCTGTAAGTTAGATGATACAGAGAATTCCATACCACATATATCACACTTGTATGGCTTCTCTCCTGTATGTAC